AAGAAATGAGGAGATGGATTAGAGGTGGGGTTTAGGAAATGTTATCTTTGCTGGTTGGGCTGCAACTTCGGACCAACTTAATTTTGGGGTATGCTTAACTTCACCTGGCGATGCTGCTTCCTGTTAGACTGCTGCTTCCAAAGACACGTCCTGGCTTCACTTCCTTTGTCCAAATCACAGGAGAATAAAACGGCTGCTGTTCTTAGACTGGAATTTTAGCTCAATTCCTTTGCTTTTCCCCCTCTACCTACATCTGAATCATATCTTTCAAAGCTTCTCCAATAGCTCCAGCTAACACGGACCTCACCCTTTCTCAACCATCCACAGCCCTGATAGTCTGCTTCATATTCCAGCCACTACATATATTCAGTTTTGTAATCAATAATGTTCAGTTTCATCCACCCTGTCCTCAAAACTCCCTTCAGAACTCTCACTTGCCTGAAATGGATAGAAAACTACTCTTAAAAACTATACTTCATGGGTACAAGAAGAGTAACATTAAGTAAAAATAGAATTCTTTTATATCTCTGTGATGCAAATAAATACAAACTCTGATGGGCAGATCAAACCCGTTTGTTATTGTACACTAATTTATATCTGGAGATTTTTCTGTAACTTTTTTCTCCTTTCTCTCTTGGTTTTGGAGCGGGGTGATAACAAGATAGACAATTATCAAAATGCAATTCAGCATTCCAGCTCTGCTGGCTTTGAGACATACTCTGAGCCACCTAACTCTATCCTGGCTAAGCCATACGTTTCCTCCCCTAAAACACTGATCGTCTAGGAACCTGGATTCAGTAACGCAATCTTAAAGCTTGAAGAAACAAAGAGACAACCAAATAAAAAATAAGAAACAAATTCAAGTCTCTCCAGTCCAAGGGAATAGTATAATTCCACCGAGGGTTTTGGTGTTCTTCGCCTGAGTTTCTAGGTTGCACTAGTCCTTGCTGACCACAGTCCACCTCCCTTTCTCTTCAGCAGCAGAGGCTGCAGGTGGATGAAGGGGAAAAAGAAAGGACACGGCTTCCAGGGTTATCACATGTCCATGGCTGCACACAAAAGCAACTTGGGATATACGTTTTCTCTCCCCGGTATCTAGATTATCTTGATAAGTGTCCTTTCCCAATTGGAAAAAGAAGAAAATCTAGTATCTCTAAGAAGATAAATAACAGAGATGTCCAAAAGCACTGTAAGGTAATCTTAAACCTGGCACTTTCAGTAAATTTGGCTTTACTCTGAAGGCTGACGTGTGTTCTCAGAGGAAGATAAATATTATTATCTTTGCCTCCCGTTATACACAAGAGTCTTACTTAAAAAAAAAAGTACTTAAAGCCACAGTGCATACTAGGTAGACTCTCCAGAGGGTGGCCAGCAACCACTACTCAGAGGAACCCAGTACTTCATCGGGTTATGGGATGAGCATTAGCCAGAGATCGTCACTTAGCATAGGCAGGGGCACCCTGCACATGCTTCCAGATAAGATCATGCTTTTGGAAACTGGGGGTGACTCCCAGCTCACCATCTGCTAATAATTAGGATGCCTGGTTCCATTACTTACCCCTCACTAAGGTTCAGTATCCTCATCTAAGGAAATGGAGGTTGTTCTCAGTGTTAAATGAAATAAGGTATGTCCAGGGCTTAGTAAGTACCTGGACTAGAGTAAGTACCTGATGAATGAAAGCAATTATGTCCTCAGTACCACAACACTTAAGTCCATGCCCAGACTTCCCTTCTGTGTTCTCAAATGGAAAAAAACATTGACAACCACAGCAAGGAGTGAATCCAGCCTTCTCTCTCTCTCTCTCTCTCTCTCTCTCTCTCCCTCTCTCCTCTCTCAATATCTTTTCTTTCTTTCTTTCTTTCTTTCTTTCTTTCTTTCTTTCTTTCTTTCTTTCTTTCTTTCTTTCTTTCTTTCCTTTCATCTATTATCTATCTATCTATCTATCTATCTATCTATCTATCTATCTATCATCTACCTATCTTAGAACCTTCTAAGGGGGAATCTATTATAGTCTCTTAGAGAGTGGTTTGGGCTTGAAACACTTAATCTTGAATTCTTACCTCTTTGCCACCTCCCATCCCCCAATCCTCTCACTGGATATTTAGAACTCCTTATAAACTTCACAGGATCGAGACGCATTGAGATCTGTAGGAGGTGTTGAAGGAAAAGGGGGACTGGGATGTTAAAAATCAGGGCAACAAAAATACCTATGATGTCATTTATCCTGACTTCTGAACCAACAGCAGCAGCCTTTTTACTCACCTGCTATGGTCCCTCACCTCTCCCAGCCTGTGTTGTCACTCACCCCCAAATGTAGGCTCAGAGGGTCTTCTATTAGAGCGATTCCCACTCCTTCTCCATCTCTCCACAGCCCCATCTCTCCCGCCTCCTCTGACTTTGAGCATAGCCAATTAAACCTGAACAACGGGTGGATGGAGGAAATATGCTGCATCTATGGAATGGTACAGCAGGGACCAATTTCACTGTTAATTTAAAATGCTAGAATTAATTAGGTAGTGTAAATGAAGAATTTAATAAGCACTCTTTACAACCACAAGTTCTACTTTTATTAAACACTGCTACCAAATGAGGGCAAATATCTCCAGTCTCTCTATGTCTCCTTGCCTCATTCCCATAAGTTCTCTGCAAATAAAATTATCTTTTTTTGGCCTGCATTAAAAAAATGCATAATGATAAATTTATGCCTGAATTGTATTTCTTCTTTCAACCCATAAGCTTCTTCCTTAAGCTCAGATGCTATTGTATGTCTCTGCTTGTGCTGGGGAGGGTGCTAAACAAACCAAAGTTGACAATTTTGGTTTTGTATACCAAATTAAAGGCTGTCTTGGAAGCTGTCACTCCTATTCAAATACACTCGGTGAACTACCAAATTAGCATTCCTTCAGTAAAGGAATCTGCTTGTTTAAATGTGCGTCTTTAGAAAACAAGGAAAAACACCATGAATCAGTACTTCACAAAAACCTCACTACAGTCTAAGGGAACTCTTTTGAAAGGTGATTAATAATATTCACTAATATAGCTGGCAGAGTCCCCATTTAGAAGGCAAAGCTACACCAAAAATACATTTTCTATGTACGAGTGGGAGGAAGAATCATATGGTTAACTGGTTTGAATTTGGTTTGAATTATCATCCTATTATATAAAAATTATTCTGGAATCTAAACATTGGCTTTCAGAGAGCACAGGCAATTCTGTTAAAGAATGGATGATCCAGTGCTCTGGGGCAAGATCATCAAAGCCCTGGCCCTATTTGGAGACCATGATAAAATCTCTCTGTTCTAGCCACTCCCTTGAAACATACTAACTGTATCTGTAATAAGAACATCTCCCCTTACTGAGAGACTGCTCTGCAATACATGGTGCTAGGTAGCATACATCCGTTCTCTCATTTAATCCTCACAATAAACCTGTTGAGGTAACTATTATTTCCCAATTTTACAGATGAGAAAATTATGTTTGAAGGGTTATGTGACATATTTTTGACAGTTATTTTAGTTTTGTGCTTTGAAAAGTACTTAATTTATTTGGGGGACAGATTTACACGGGAATTAGAAAATTAAAGAGTATATATCCTATATAATAAAAGGCTAATATGCAAACCAACTGAACAGGGGAACGACCAGTCATTATGATGCACACTGACCACCAGGGGGCAGATGCTCAATGCAGGAGCTGCCCCCTGGTAGTCAGTGTGCTCCCACAGGGGGAGTGCCACTCAGCAAAAAGCCAGGCTCACAGCTGGCGAGCGCAGCGGTGATGGCAGGAGCCTCTCCTGCTTCCACGGCCGCGCTAAGGATGTCTGACTGATGGCTTAGGCCTGTTCCCCCAGGGAGCAGGCCTAAGCCATCAGTCGGACATCCCCTGAGGGCTCCTGGACTGTGAGAGGGCGGGCTCAGGGACCCCCCGCCCTGAGTGCATGAATTTCACGCACCGGGCCTCTAGTGTGTGTATATATATATATCTACATGCACACATATACATTGGGTTCTCTGATTTAAGATCAAGATGATGTAGCTTCCTATTATAATGAGAGCGTTTCCGTTTTCTTATATAGGCTAGTTGCTCATCACTTAAACTATCCAGAGAAAGGGAAATAAGTCAATACTCAAAAAAGACAAACGCTTAAAGGTGAGTGTGAATGATTTTAGGAGTGGAGTACCAGAGAACAGCTACCTCACTGCTGTCTTGTAGCCCAATATTTTTCTAAGAAAATTTTTTCACTTCCAAAAAGATTGTAGGGAAATTCCCCAATAATTAGTGTCATTAGGTCCTCGATGAATGTTTGTGGGAAAAAATCAGAACCTAAAAACCTTAAGTACTGAAGTTGTATAAGGTATTGTTTCACTTTCAAGTAAAAAGTCTCCGACTTCTTAAAGAGTATCTCCAAAACAAACAAATACAATAAAATACCTCAAATGCGGATCTTCATGGAGCATCTCCCTCCTACTGCAGAGTAGTTTCACTCCAGAGTAATCTGCTATCCTTAGGGCTTATTTCTCCCCAGGGACATGGGCAGTTGTGGCCTCCTTCCACAAGTCCACCTAACACTGTCTAACACACAGAAGAATATCGGACACACACAAACCAAATGTTTGAGAGGAAAGGGATAAGTAGATAGAAACTAGCATGGAGTCTATGGAGGGCAGAGAGCAGAACAGAGAACTAAAGAACAAAGGGAAGGGGTGGCTGATTAAGAATAAAAGGGGATAAAACCAAAGTATTATTTCACAGATAGTAAAGCTGAGGAAGCTCCAAATTCTTCATCTTCTTCTCAGTCCTACCAATCCTCAGTGTGGTTTTCTATAGTGCACACACGTATAAGTTTATGACTGTGTGCCCACGCCATCCTTGAATGCAGGATCCACACTGCAGACACTCAGATGCATCACCATGCATGTGCATTTCTGCTAAGGTCTGCACATCTAATGGAACATCACAGCTGCAGATTCCAAGCCTAGAATGTTGAGGAAGAACATACCTGTAATTTTGTCTCTCACGAGTTTGCAGGATTCTATTTCACCAATGCTCCCAAAGAGACTCCTGAATTCCTCTTGGGTCATATTCTGGGGTAAATAGTTGACTATGAGGTTGGTTTTGCTGTCATCTGTGGCTGCCCCTGTCTGCATGGGAGAAGGACAGTTTCTATTGTTGCTGGAGGGTCCATTGCTTGTATTGGATGTCGGGCCATTTGACACCTGAGGCTCCATGGTGCTAATTATCTAAACAAAAATAAAAATAACAAAAACAAGCCTTTTGAAATCTCAAAGATATAACTAAAGTCTTTTTTTCAAGATTTAATTTAATTTTTTGAAAAGAAAAAGAGAACAAGATAGAACAAGATGGAGCAAAAGGGACTGGGTTGTGAACAAAGCCAATTTAGAAGCATGTTTTTAACCAAAATGTTAAACTCCCCTTGCTATTTTTAGGCCAGCCCATAGATTTTGAACACAGACTAGCATGCAGTGGGAACTCTCCCATTATTTTGTTAATGAAAAGCTAATTCCTGTTTTCATTACACAATCACTCTCAGAAATGTATACTTAAGCCACACCAAATTATAATTAAAATGTAAAGTAATAATCATGATTAAAATTATAGTTCCATTAAAGCTGAAAAAGCTAAATATAGAGGGCTACACTCATAAGATCAAATACAGTACCTGTTTATTAACTATCTCCTAATGTGAAATGACATCAAATTAAGTAGAGCTGTTTCATATAGGAAGGGTTTAGATTTTCACTGATGCTTAATCACTGATCAAACTTCAGATTTCATGAGCGCATACTGGGGAGCTACAAAGTCTATCTACTGATATTTCAACCTAGCCACTTTGTCACTATTTCTCCTGGACCTCTATTAAAATAAAACACCAGGAAGGAAAAGCTCTCTCTAGGTTTCCACCTTAGGTCCAGCACATCCCGAGGTTGTCCTTCCACACATGACTCAAAAAGAACTTTCTCTGGATTTAAATAGTTAATTAAATAAAGATTTCCACAAATGTCTCTACCTTCAAGGAATTTACTGTCTACAGAGGACACAGACAGGCAAGCAGATTGCAGAAGGACAATAGACATGTAGTGGAGGGGTAATTAACCCTGCTAATAGGACAGCGGGGTTCAGGGGAAAGTATTAAGAAGATGACGCTAGGATGAGGTTTTTGTGGAAAATGGGTTTAAGCTCACGGAGCTAGGTCATGAAGATGCCCCATATCATATGATAAACATGGAGAATCACAACATTTCAGAGCTGGAAGACACTGAAGGGAATAAAATCTAGTTCAGAACACTCAAGTTTGAGATGGATTCCAGCAACTTCTTTGTCATCATGAGAAAGTGGGGCAGAGTCTGGGCCTGCACCCAATTTTCCTGGCCTCAAATGCAGCCCATCAGTCCCACTTTTCCATTCTGTCCTACTACCATCTCTTACTCATCCTTCATGATAGGGCTTCCGTCTCCTCTGAAATTGATCATCAACTCCTTGGAAATAGAATCATGCCCTGCCATTCACTGGCTGTGTGATCTTGGGGAAGAAACTTACATTGTAGGAGACTTAGATTCTCTCATTTGAAAAAATGGGAACAATGCCACCTGCCTCACTAGGTGGTAAGAAGGATCTGGTAACACAAAGTGTATAAAGCGCCCAAATAGTAGTGGGAACATAACCACAATCATTGATATTAATTAAAGTCACTTTTCCAGTCATGTGGTGTGACTTCTCTCACTGTCTCCTCACAAGAAAGCAATGAGGCATATTCTAATATTCTCTACATTTATAGATGAGAAAACCATGGCTTAGCAGAGGTCTGATAACTAGCAGCTACCATTATTATTACCATTTGGCTGCTCAGAGGAATAGGAATTCTAATATAATATACATGTCGTAAAGTATTTAAATCTCGGGGATGCAACTCAAAGAATGTTTACAAGGTAAACACAACTCACACCTGCGTGACCGACCACCTTTCAGAGAACATGACTAGCGTCACAGGAGCCTTTTTTGGCCTACTACCCCATCACTCATACCTCCCCACCCCAACGTAACCATTTCTAATCCACATATTTGTTTTTATCTGGTTTTGAACTGAAGCACACGGAGTCACACAATACATACTCTTTTATTTCTTTTCACACATTATGTCTGGGTATCATCCATGTGTCAAATGTAGTGGTAGGTTGTTCTCCACTGCTGTAGAGAATTCCATTGTGTAAAAATATCACTTTTTATTATTATTTTATCTCTGATGGGAATGTTCCTGGGAGTCTATTTTTTGGTCTTAAGGTATATGTATGTTCACGTCAAGTAGATACTTGTCGACAGTTTTTCGAAGTGGTTGTACCAATCACATTCCTGCCAGCGGAGATGAAAGTTCTAGCTGCTGCACTTCCTTAGCAGCATTTAGAGACTGCTTTTTGTTTTTGTTTTTCACTTGTTATCTCATCTGAAGTACAGTGATAGAGTAAAAAGGAGTGAGTTTTTAGTTGCACAGCTGACTTAAAATTTTAGTCCTATCACTTATTAGCTGTGTGAGATCAGGCAGGTAGTCTCAATACCCCAAGCCTCTCTTTCCTCTTTGTAAACTGGAATAAAGCCTATCGTGGAGGGCTATCTTCAGGATGACAGATCACATATGTATTTATTAAGTGCCTAGACAAACTGCCTGGAGGCATCATAACTATTATTCTGCATCATGCCCTATGTAGGTGAGGTTACTATAGTTGTTCCTCTTCTAATGATCACAAATGGAAAATGAAACAACAACAACAAATAAGACAAGAGGAGTCAGGGAAATTAGGCAGATTGAGGATTAAAGAATTCTAAGATTCTTTAACATCATGTAAGTAACTTTTTAAAAAATATGTAATTTTATTGATTTCAGAGAGGAAGGGAGAGAGAGAGGGAGAGAGAGAGAAACATCAATGATAATAGAGAATCATTGGTTGGCTGCCTCCTACACACCCCATACTGAGGATAGAGCCCACAACCCAGGCATGTGCCCTGACCAGGAATTGAATCTTGACCTCCTGGTTCATAGATTGATGTTCAACCACTGTGCCATGTAAGTAACTTGAATCACATCACAAGAACTTTATTCTTGGCTTCAGGTCAACTATGAGATTCTGGAAGGCTGGTCCAGACAGCAAGTGGAAAGCAAAGAGTCCCTGAAAAGAATCCTAAGTCAAGCACTCCTCAGCAGTGATAGAAACTGCACCCAAAAGCCTATTCAGCTGCTCTGCCCTTGAGGCAGGGTTCCAGGAAAAATGAGAAAGCTGTGCCCAGGGGAGGGGGCCATGCTAATGGAGATGATGTTGCAGAGCATCATCACAGCTCCTTGCTGGGAGGCAGGTGTCTGCTCGCCAAGCCGTCCGGCCTCCTGGGTCTGTGCAGTGCCTCCATTTGCTGTGTAGTCTCACTGCTTCAGTGAGTCAGGTGTCCAGGCAACAAACACACGGAGCACTGCCAACTCGATAAAGAATTTGAAAAACAGAGTTTATCCAATTTAGAAGGCTTGGCTAGCAGAATCACAGTGCTGCCCAACTATGGAATTTTTATTTCATGGCAAAAAAGGCCAGTTCCATAATCTATAGAGCACCTTCTCTGCTCTCCACCTTCCCCAGGTTACCCTTCTTATAGGTCTCCCAGACACCTACACAATAGCCTGTGCTTTTGTGGCATCTTTTGGGGGGTCTTAAAATGGAATATGAAGAGTATTATCAGCCATACCTAAGCACGCTGAGATTCTGTGGGACTCAGACTGTTAAAGGTCACCTGACAGCTGGGTTCATCTTTTATTCACTGGATGCTCACCTCACACACACATGTGAGTGAAAGCCAGCCACTTGCCCGTGTGAACATCTCACAGGTCTGAGAAGTATCAAGTCTGCAGCAAAGAAATTTCAGTTCCTCAATCAGCTTTCTGATCTGCTTACATCCTATGTGGATTTCCTAACGTATGCTGACTCATGGAGCTGAGCCCCATCTGTAGATCAGACAATCCTAACTGGGCTCAAACCTCCAGAAAAGAGCCATGAGACACAATGTTCTACATTGAGCTACTAGACAGTAGGCCAAGTCATTCTCATCTGATGGAGATGGAGCTCACTTTGCTCTGCACACGCTGCACAGTTATCATTCTGCGTATTGGGAAAGAACTGATGGAAATACTCACATGCACACACAGACTTTTCCCAATAACAACATGCAGTTCTGAAGTTGGGAAACATTTGCAAATGCATTGTTATACCTCATGTCATAAGATCCTTCACTGGTCTTAATGATGCATCCCAGAATGCAAAACAGGCTTACAAAAAGAATCAGAAATGTAAAATGTCAGAATCAAATCTGACATATAAGTCAACCACGAGGATTTGAAACCATTACTTGGAAAATAAGAGAAGTTACCAAGATATAAAGATAACAAACCCAACGATATGAAATGACAACATTTTAGCTTTACATGATAGATCTTAGAGAGAGAGGACACCTGTAATCTCTACCTGGGAAACAGACCAGAGAGATACATATGTGATAGTGGGAAGGATATCCTCCAATCAGCACAGAGGCTGGCTCTGCAAAATCAGAACACTTGCTTCCCCAGCCTATGGCCTTTGATATTTATTCTAACAGCACCATTCTCATTGCGAATAAATATATCAGTTATTCAAGTGTGCAAATGTATTTTAATAAAACATTCTGTGTGGGTCTCACAGCCAACTTTGCAGCTGACCAGATTCCAAACCCCTGACTTGCCCTCCTTCCCTCTTCTGAATGGCAATTAAGAAGCAGAATTAGAGTCAGCATCCAGGATAGAGCACTGAGGCTAACGGCACCCTTCTCATTGCGAATAAATATATCAGTTATTCAAGTGTGCAAATGTATTTTAATAAAACATTCTGTGTGGGTCTCACAGCCAACTTTGCAGCTGACCAGATTCCAAACCCCTGACTTGCCCTCCTTCCCTCTTCTGAATGGCAATTAAGAAGCAGAATTAGAGTCAGCATCCAGGATAGAGCACTGAGGAGGTTCAGTTGACTTCAGACTCTAATGGTTATACAAAGCACTGCATTAAATCTTTTATGTTCCCGTGATATATTTTAAGAAACATTATACAGGCAGAAAATTTCAAGGATAAACTATTAGAGCAGTGCACAATAACGTAGGCACTCAAATCCTGTCATTGTAAATGTCAATGGTTTGAATGACTAATTACTCACACTCAACG